TTATTATCAAACAATGCACCGAGATTTCTAACACAGGAACTAGGATAAATATCACAATCACCTACGGAAATATTCCATTCATCGTTGATCTTACCTAATTGTTGTTTAGTTTCTATTAAGATCGACTCAGTTTTATCGTCATTAATCATGAGCCTATCCCTAATCATCCAATTTCTTAAATCACAAATACATCTATTCAAAGCACTGACAGCTTCATCAAGGGTACTCCATTTATTTATGAAGTACCCTTCATGAATGTTGAAATTTGTGGAGCGTAAGAAGAAGATATGGTCGGAAGCTATATTTTTTCTAACGTGGAACTATGGAATCAACTCTATTTCAGCATAAAAGTAAATGCAAATACATTTAGAAAGCTTACTACAGTATAAATCTCTTAGGCACTCGTTTTTGACTGCCTTAGAACTTAGAGCGTTGTAAAGAAAAAGAAAAGTTACAAAGTGGGAATATTGTTCAATTTGAAACCAAATTCTAAGAGCTGAAATTATTTCAGAAATGTACACTTTTTCTTTCATTAGAACGTCTCATTTTATGTGCTGAGGCTAAACGTTCTTATTGTTGTGAAGTAAATTGGGAGTTGTTATTTTGAGACTTTTTCAGTTAAGCTTTTTGTTTTGTTAAGCCTTGCCTTTTGCGCCTACGTGTTGTTTTGGTAGATTTATTGTTTTGATCTTTTATTTTTTTGTGTGCACTTGAACTTGGCTCAGTTCGCGGACTTCCTTATTACCGTGTTAGACATTTTAATCGCTTGTTGTGGCTGAGAATAATTAGTTTCATAGGTGGTCGTGTTTGTGTTGGTAAAGCTGACCTTGGGTTTTTGCTCAAACTGAAGATCCTGTTTGCGCGCGCGATTCCTGTGCGCAACTGTTAGCGTTCAATTGGTTCCTAGGCGCTCGTCGGTGAGGGCCACCCAGTTTCCCCCTTTTTGCAAAATAAACGGATACACTATGGAAACTCCCACGGTCAGCTAACATGTCTGTGATTTTTGTTTTTAATACGTGGGCACTTCTCGCGAAAGAGAGAAGAAAAAAAGGTCTGAAGCAAGGTAGTCGAAGCTGTAGTAGCTCTCGAGAAGAAAAAAGATAAGAGTCCATAGTCTTGGTGCCTCCCGTTAAACGATCAAGCGAGTCGCTAACCTCACTACATTATTTTTTTCGCGTTCTTATGTTGTTAGAGTTGAGTAGTACAGTAATTAATCAATTCGGACGTGTCCAGACTAAGTTCGACTACAAACAGAGTTGTTCCTCAATGTATCGTGCAATAACCGTATCACTAATGTTAAAAAATGTCTCCACGTGTTTGAGTTAATTGTCATGTTAGACCACGGTTTTCCTATCTTTTTTTTTTTTTTACCTTTACTTATACTTCCCACTAAAATAAAAAAATGAGCCGTTCTTAACTGACTCTCAGCCTGGGTATGTTCTTACTATGTTTATACAATTTTGGTTAATCTCAGCCTGAAGGTTTTTTTTTATATAAAAAAGGGTTCTCTAAAAAGAGTCAGGGGCGTAGCCAGCATTTTCAAAGGGGGGGGGTCACAGAGGCTACTCACCAGACTGTCATGTCGACCTCCCCGCCGTGCATGTTTTACTTAATGTTACAGTTTTGGGATGAGCAGTGCGAGTATAGTGGGCAGGCCAAGATATTGTCATGGCGTTTTCACCACCTGAATATTGTAGGTAGTTTGTTCAAAAGAAGGCCTACCAAGGGGGG